TCATTAAATGGATATGTGTGTGTTGTTGTGTGTGTGTGTGTGTGTGTGTGGTAAATAAAATAATATAGAACATAATTATTTTATATCCTATCGCCTTTGTTGGCTAAACGTGAAACCCAGGGTCACAAGGTGATCCAAATATATCTAAATTCAATATATATATATATATATATATATATATATATATATATATATATATATATAGGTAATATATAAGATTATAACATGTGAACAACGGTGTAGTGTAAAGTATATTACAATCTAGCGTGAATGTAGGGTAATGGTAACAAGCTTGTTTTGCTCAAATTTATATGACTGAGTATTGAGTTCGATTAGCACTAGTTACTCTATACTTGTGACAAATGTAAGCTACTCTTGTTAAATCACTGTCAGGTTTTATGATGCAGGAGAGTTTTTTCAGAATAAAACTAATATTAACCACTCAATACAATGTATACTTAAATGTATGCGATAAATTTACATAGTATATTTAAACTAATAAAATCATATTTTTAGTAGAAATATTTACAATACTAATTATGTGGTGCGGCATTCTACTATGAAACTGGAGTGTTGTTCATTATATTATAAATAAATATATAATACATCTGTTATTGATATTTATTTCTTCAAAATGTCAGATATAAAGATTGTCAAGCCTTTAGTAAAACTGCTTAACCACGAAAGAGAGAAAATCTATTGTGAAGTTGGGAAATTACGAAAAAATTAGCGAAGGTAACGGAAGAATCTATACGAACTTGAAAAAGAGGCCCCAGCTACAAAATAGAAAAACAATGATTTTAATTATCTCTCGAAAAGAAAACTTTAAAGAGAATTAAGAAATAACTGTACTGACGAATAAGAAAATATATAACGAATCTGGTTTTGCAAATGTAAACAAATGAAAAACGATACAGAAATTACTTGCAGAAATCAAAAATACAAAACTACCATCTTTAAGTAAAAGTCACAAAGAAAAACGTGCACGTCTGGCAAATAAATACCTGGAACATCTTCCCAGCAGTGACATTTTAAGGATGAATATTGACCTATATGAAATGTATCTGATGAGTGAACTATTCATATTATTTAATCAAATATTAAACAGAAGAAAAAAAAAAAGCAGACAGAGATCGAATGTTTTAGGCTCGTATTTTAAGCGGTAAAAATGATTATCATTTCGAAGATGATGAAACGATTGAGAAAAATGGGTGAATTATTATAAGTCCATAAAGATTTTTTTTTTTTTTGCGGAAAGTTACATTTCATAAACAAAAGTTTTTATGTTAACGTTTATAGGTATGCAAAAGAATGCTTCTTCGTGTTTAACGATGCAAGTTTTGTCAACCTCAAAAATGCTTTCGAAAACAGAGAAATTAATTAATGGTTTACAATCTATCAAGATATTGCTTCAATAGAAATCTTTTAAACTGCCATGAAAGAGGCATGAATATGAAGTCGTGAAACAATTGTTAAGCCATGAAGATTTCTAAAAAGCAATGAAAAATACGCCAAGTACACCCGTGTGCAAATTAATTGAAACATAACGAATAATTCCATTATTATTTACTCTTTTCATACTTTTTCAATGAAACATGACACAGTGACCATTTTAGTATGTCGTATGTCAATTCCATGATGTCGGTCCTTGCAGATTAACCACAGATTCTCGATTAGATTTAAATCAAGAGAGTTTTCAGGCCAGTCTATAGTACTTTGATTGCTCACTGGTAAGGCTTGCTAGTGTGTTCGTGGAACGTCACAATTTTCGTGCACTTCCATGAGGTAACATACATCGCAGCCAATGGCCGTAGGACAACTAACCGACAGTCGAGACAACAGTATCTGGGAGTGATGACGCAGTATTTTTTAAAGGCCAAACAAATTTCATTATACACCCTGAAAATAGATTCATATTACTGCGCACCACTGCAAATGACCTAATCTGAGGAAAAAATAGAAATCGATTATACCATGTCACTCCAGTGGGTCTAAAACTGACAGTATGGCGAAAGAAAGGAAACCAAATCGGTTGTTTCAATTAATTTGCATCAAGGGTGTAATGTTTTATTTGAAACAAGGGAGAACATTAAAATCGGTATATGAAACAATGATTTATATCACTCTTGCTTTCTGCATCATATTATATATCTATATATTCATCACCTATTAAGCTGGCCAAGGAAATCATTCACTAGTAGAACCTATAGAACTTCATGGCCAAACCTCTATATATATATATATATATATATATATATATATATATATATATATATATATATATATATGTATTTTTTGTGTGTGGAGGGGGAGTAAATTTTTCTACGTCTACGGCTGTACCGTGCATCCTAATTTTTACGCTAAGTATGAAAGAAAAATATATAAAAATTAATATACATATTAGAAATATTATTATAAAACTTTATAAAAATAATATAAAATAGATATCAAAATATTCCCAGTTAGGAAAAATCAACTGCAGAATTTAAAATAAAACAAACAATATTATCAGAATTATTGTAAAAATGGCAACTGTGTGTATTGTTTCTTCGATTGTCTCCAAAAAGTAGCTACACGTATAAGGTGCGGTACCTAGGTTTTTCTGAATTCTTAAATCATATCCGCAATCGTTCGCACTTCAAAAAAGATCTTCCGTTATGTCATGGCTGCCATATATTTACTCCTTTCTTAAGCTTCTCAATCTTAAAATCGTGTAAAATCATTAGCATTTCTTTTACAATATTGGCTGGTGGTACCAATTCGCTTCAAATCATTTTTGAAAATTATAACTAAACTCAGCTTACGACCATAGACCGTTGTAACATTGATTCCCATGGGATCATACGTTAAGCAATGTCGGGACAGATCAGTACGTAGAATGACCACTTGGGAATACCAGGGACTGTAAGCTTGGATGTGTGGGTGGTGTAATGGATAATGTGTCGCAATTGTAAATCGGAGTGCTGAGTTTCAATTTAAGTTGGATTCGTTATATTCACTTACGTTCGAATAACCTTTGGAAAGGTATGCATAGATCTATTCTCCCCACACATCTGGATTAATTAAATAAACTGATATCACTAAAGTATTATTATTTTAAAAATTAAAATCTAAATAATTTTTCTGGCTTTAAATAACCTGCAATGTATTGATAAGTCAACCATTCAATCAGTGGACGTAAACTCAGATTATTGTCTTTGTTGGGATTTTATGTTTCATTATTCGAGTCTGTATTTTCTTGGGTTCATTTATTTATACACTCAGTCAGATATATGAATGCATGTTACACACTTAGGCGATCATGTATCTTTCGATACATGACTGACGAGGCAGAATTTTTCCGGCAGTATGTTGTCATTTCTTTCTGCAGTAGGCTATAGAATCCGGTCTGTCCTGCTATTTATCCGTAGCTGGGGGAGGGGAGAAGAAGAGGATTCATACCTTTCACGTAAGTGAATGTAATGGTTTCGACTGGAATTTGAAGTCGGCTCTTTGATTCTTCAATCAGATCCTCTATCCATTATTCCACCGTGACTCCACGTCGAAGAGCCGGGTACAGTCGAAAGTACTTGTGCATTTAAGAAAGACTTTATACAGCTCATAATTTTAAGAAAAATGTATCATAACATTCATCGAGGGATTAATAGTTTAATGCATCTTTAAAATTTTGTTAGCGAAGTGATTTTCCCATTATATATCATTAACTTTACTAATTTATTTTTTGTATGAATGATTCATTATAATATAAATTGAACTGCACTACATATTCGACTCATACACAAACACACACACATACATATATATATATATATATATATATATATATATATATATATAGATAGATAGATAGATAGATAACTAGACTCGTTTCGAAAAACCCTCGAATTTTTGATTTGCTAATCAAATCAATTTCGAGGGGAAAAAGGTTTTAAAAAAGAAAGAGTTAGTGAATGAGAGCGAAAAGAAAGGACTAAGCATAAACTATAAGAATGCATGATTATCAGCAAAAGGATGAGCCCGAAATAAAATTTATCGATTGGGGACACAAAAATCAAGCAGCTACAGAAACTTAAATATCTAGAAACTGTTCTGACAAGGGACGAAAATGTGTATCGTCCGAAGATACACTAAAGAATCATTCCAAAATCTAGACAGAGTATTACGAGACAGGAGAGTTTCGTTGGTAACAAAGAAAAGAGTACTGAAGTGCTACGTGATATCAGTCCTCTTTAACAGCAGTGAATATTGGGCAATCTCCTCAAAGATGAAGATGAGTGTCGAGCCAACAGAGGTGTGCTTCTACAGAAGGATGCTAAGGAAACCATGGACCGAACACGTCAGCAACGATGACACTTAATACTTATCCTCAGAAAGAGGCAGCTGAAATTTCTGGGAGAGGTAATGAGAAAGGACAGCTTAGAAAATTTGATACTCACGGGGTGGACAGAAGGAAATAGGGACAAGAAAAAGCAATTCGTGGCATGCTTAACGGGTCAAGTGGATAGCAGAACAGTGGTCTGGGAGAAATAATAAAAAGAGAAAACATTGAGAGCTACAAAGGAGAGAATTAGTTGGAGAGCCATGATCGCCTATATCCTGAAGGGATAAGACACATAAAAGAAGTGTTCTTTCTTTCCGGGTCCCGGCCAGAAACCTAAAGTCAGTAATGACATCATGACAATTCCCACTGAGCAATTTTGAAAAAAAAATCATATATATCTTATATAGAAAAATCCCTTCGTAAGGTGTGGTGTGTACTCGTGAGAACATTTTTTTGTATGTCTTTAAAGCATGGGCTGCTGGGAAGCCCTTCACTGAGTTTACTGGAATCTTTTCCAATCAATACGAGGGCTCCAACTACAATTGGAATTGTTGAGAAATTACACATATTATTATTATTGTTGTTGTTGTTCCTTTGTCCACTTAATCCGCTAGGCTCTGTAACTAGCTCTGATAATGGACTCTTCCGCTTTAAAAGACGGAAAATACATACACGATACAATATTTTGACTTCAGGGAAAGAAAGAAAGAAAGAAAGAAAGAAAGAAAGAAAGAAAGAAAGAAAGAAAGAAAGAAAGAAAGAAAGAAAGAAAGAAAGAAAAACGAGAGTGGGGATAGAGGAGGACATCTGACAGTGTTTAACGTATGGTACAGTAAAATGGAAAACTTGTCAAATTCAAATCTTTTTGTAACAACTTCTTCAAACAAAGAAAAGCATTCAGATTTATGTTTGTTATTGTAATATTTTCTTACATTTCTTTAGTTCAAATATTTAACGATGCAATGGGAGATTATTCACGGGTATTTTCTAGATGTGGAATTCACAAGGACCTTATTCACTCATTAACTTAAGAATTGAAAATCAACAGAATATTTATATAGGAAAACCAGGAAGTTACCACAGCTGTTTGTAATTATTATTATTATTATTATTATTATTATTATTATTTGGGTATATCATGTTTCATGGTATGGCCCTTAGGTCCTAGAGGAGAATTGTCATTTAATTAATAGCATTTTCTTAGTACATGGGACGATCTTCTGTGTAATTTGTATGTTGATGTTACCTGGAACACTGTTAATAGAATTGACCATTCCTTTTCTCACGTGGCCGACAGTCCGATTACTATTGGTACAGTCTCAATCTTCATTTCCACATCCTGTTAATTTCGATCTTCAGATCCTTGTATCTGGACAATTTCTCGATAATGTTTGTAGTTGTGTTTCTCTCAGATCGTACTACTATGTCAATAAGCATATACTTCGTGACTTTCCTGTCTTTTATGATAATATTAGGTCTGTTTCATTTTATTTCCGTGTCAGTTAGAATTGGCATGTCCCAGAAGATAGTTACATCGTTATTTGGAGTGTCTGGTTTGTGCTCATACCATCTCTCAGGGATTTCGATTTTGTGCTTCTTGCATATCTTCCAGTACACATATGTTGCTACCCTTGATATGTCTGTAGATGTATTCATTTTTTTTGCTACTTCATTATTATTATTATTATTATTATTATTATTATTATTATTATTATTATTATCTCTGCTGTAAAAAGGAGTGGAATTCTAATAAATCTTATTCACAGATTCATGGCTTTAATTTATTATGATCGCATTATTTAAAAACGTTTTCAGACATATGTATCACTCATTTACCTCAATGAAACTAAAAAGAAATCTTTTAGCGATTTCAACAAGCTTCTTTTCAATTTGTACTTTATTCTTCCTGTTTACTTATTATGAAACAAAATATGATTAACATCTTGAACATTAATCTCTGGAAAGTGATATAATCTAAATCAGCATTCTTTCTTTGTAGCAGAATTCGGCAAAGTAATTTGGTTTTAAATTGTCTGTATTTACGAATATGATGAGGTTCTTAATGGCTCTCATTAACAGTAAATAGGCAATGTAAACGTCATATGGAATCTTTACTGTTCATCTCTTTCTCATTTCCCACGATCAGTAACAATCATGCTATACTGAGTGTGGCATATTCATTTAAGTATTTGATCATAAACATAAAGTTTTAGTCTTTCGCTAATGAATGTTTACAGATATTTTTTACTGATATTTCACCCAATAAAAGGCGCAAAACAAAAATATATATATATATATATATATATATATATATATATATATATATATATATATATATATATATATATATATATATATCGGTTGACCATGTACTAAAAGCTACCAATATGTCAGGGAAGCATCGTATCGTGAGTCTTTTTTCCGACAAGTAACTATTCTGGGGAAGAAATTGTCTGAGTAAAACTTGCTTTTTATTAACGGAATAGGATAGGAAATATGATGATTTGCCACACTGAAAACACTGATCCTAGCAGTCGAGGTCTGAGCTGTTGGCCATGAGGAATGTAACTCGTCCGAACATCTGCTAGAGGAATTGCTATATATTAATAAAAGACTAGTGACGTTTCGTCTGTGGAATAAAGGCTGCGGTGCGAAGATTATTTCACTCCTAGAAGGCGGCAAAAAGAGCATTTGAACCCTATCGTGGCTAGGCAGTTAAGTTTGGGTAGTGCCAACACAGATATAGCAGCATTCCTACATTCTTTCTCCGATCTGACTCTTCTAAATTTAGAGAATGTCAGCGAGGAATACGTATTTTATGGACCGATAAAATGAACCGATCATACTCCCAAGATATTTTTCCTTTGTCAGGATTATACGCTTTCCATTTGAGATTTGCAGTGTGTTTTACCCACACTAGTTCACCAGTTTGTTTGCTCAGTGGTGACATGTTACGAGTTCAGCTCTGGATATATTGAATAACACCAGCTAGTCTATTCTCCATTGGGCCGGGATAGGTTAGAAGAGAGATAAACTGACACTGGTTATCAAGATATTTGCAGGTGCACCCATACACTGTGGTATCATCTGTATATATATATATATATATATATATATATATATATATATATATATATATATATATATATATATATACTAAAGATCTCTGATTGTTCGTTGAAATAAAGCAGATAGAAGGTAGGACAAAGGAGAGAGATTGGTTGACGACAGTATTGACCTCATGTTTCTCAGATGCCTGTCCATTTACAACAATTTTCATAGACCTATCTGACAAGAAAGACTTAACAGCTGAGTGGACTTGTCAGTTTTTGCTGCGCTATCCAGTGCAAATCCCTTGTCAAAGCCTTCGAGATATCTAGGGCGTTCACTCTTGTTTTTATCAGGAAATTCACTGATTCTATGCGAGGTAATAAATTGTCAATATTATTGGCAATGCATTACGTATATGTACAATTCAAAATTACCAGTTTGCTTACACAGTAACCGTTAATCGCTTCTCAAATGACGTGCCTGATTTCTTCGCAAACTATCCGAAATGTATCTCGGTGATATAAGATCTGACACAGCAGTATGAGATATGGGAACATGGTCTATATTGCAAAGTTCGTAGCGTTTACAGCATTGTTGATAGAGGTCAAACTGATTTTTTTGAAAAAATCCACTGAAATTTTTCTAGCAACAATTGAGCGCCAAAATGGCTGACAACCAAGACAATGCATCTCTTTCCAACCTTGGTTGGTATTGACTTTCAAACCTTCTTCAATTAAATTCGATTTAGAACCATCAGGAACAACAACACCCTAAACCTTAACACCAGTTGGTTTCTGTTGCTTGAAATGTGCCCTGACACCTTCGGTAATTCTTACTGATAATATGGCGCAGACAATATCGTTTCTTCTAGATGATCATAGCCATCGCATGGAAAAGTGTCGCGTCTGACCAAACGAAAACTTTTTCTGCGGCATGCTGCATTTCCTACGATATTTTCCTCGCTATGCCAAGCCGGTTTTAGTTTTAGTTGGAGGCACTTGTCAGCAGCTATCGGCGGTGAACATTGTATGGTTTCAGTGTTAAATTCACATTCACAATCTTCCTTAGCTTACTATCTGAAATATGCAGCTCTTTTGTTTGTTATCTTCCATGGAATTTCTCTTCATCCATTTTTTCTCTTCATTCCACTTCAATGGACGGTTTATCCTAGAATTGGATTTGATGATATTGTTTGCTTATATTAAAGCTTTTTCTCCACACATTAAAAACAGTTTGTTTTTTGTTTTGTTTTTTTTTTTGTTGTAAAGAATCACGTTTTTTATCACTTCGCAATTCTTCATACCAGCCATTTTCAATGCGAAAATCTGATCACGTTTTTAGCCGCCATATTTAATTAAACTATAAACAATAAAGCAAAAGAAGGTTAGCATGCCTTATGAAAAATATGAAATTTTCTTTACGGATAGGAATGTTACAGTCTATGTTTAAAATGTTTATTCATGTTTAAGTAATGGCTAAATATTCATGTTTAAATTGGGGTACATATATGCGCCGCAGCGGACTTGACCGCCATACAATCTGTACAGTGTAACCCAGATATAAGAGAGTTGTCGGGACCAGAGAAGAATTCTCTTATATCCGGGTTTATCGTATATCCGGGTTTATCTTATATCCGGGTCTCTTATATCCGGGTTACACTGTATTATTAAACCCAAATAAGATTTTAAAGATGTCGCCAAAATTAATTATTGTTGAAATTTTTAAATCATAAATGTTTTAGAATCTAATTCTCAAATGTAATGAACGGTACAATGATTGTCAATAATTATTGTTTACTTTGGATTATTATTACTTTGGAATATATTTAGTAATGATGAGAATTATTATGACACTTGAATTTTGAAAAAGTTATACATTCGCAAGTACTACTGATTTATATGAAATATAGTGTTATTACCAAAGAGATACTGGATATTACTTAAGAGATACTATCACCTCGGATATAGAGGGTAGTACATAAGGGATTAAATGTATTAGCCAAGTTATACGGAATATTGTCTAAGAGATGGAAGGTATTACTTACGAGGTACGCGATATTACTTAAGAGATGCGTGGTATTGCATTGGAGATAGATGATATTACCTAAGAGGTACAGGATATTACCTAAGAGATACGAGGTATTATCTTCGAGAAAGAAGGGGTTACTTTAGAGATAAGTGGTGTTACATAAGTGATACGAGGTATTACTTAAGAGATACACAGTATTACCTAAGAGTTACGAAATATTACTTAAGAGATGCGGGGGTATTACCTTGGAGAGAGTAGTACCTAATACTTGTTGGATATTACCTAAGAGATACAGGTCATAAGATAAAAAATACTAGGTCTTACCTTCAAGATAGAGGTCATTGCCTAAGAGATAAGAAGTTTTACCTAAGTGATATGGGGTATTACCTAGAAGATAGAAGGTATAGCCTAAGTTATACGAGAAATGCATAAGAGATGGAGATAGGAAGTCGTACCTAATATATACTGGGCATTACATAAGAGATGCCGGGAAATACCTAGGAGATATGGAGGTATTACCTAAGAGATACAGGTTAATTACTTAAGAAATACGGAGCTATTACTTAACAGATAAGCGGAAACTTAACAATTGTTTAATATTTTGAATCTCTCAAGCACAGCAGAGTTTTACTCATTTCTAGTTTAATAAAGTATCTTATTTAATTTCACTTCTGTTTTCCTTCTAGAAAACTAATCTAAAATAAAAAAATAAACATTCAAACGACGAG